CTCCCGAACGGGTGGTTCTGGGTGCTATAAGAAAGCAGGCTGAGCAAGCCACGGGGAGCAAGCCCGTAAGCAGCGCCCGTCCATGGCCTCGGCACCAGCTCCTGCCTCCAGGTCATGTCTTGAGCTACTGCCCTGACTGCCCTAGATGGTGGACTACAAGGTGTAAGATGAAATAAACCATTTCCTCCCCGAGCATGTCATGATGTTTGATCACAGCAATAGAATGCCTAACTGGGGATGAGTCCATGGTATAACACTTGCTTGTCATTGGTGAGGCCCTGGCTTCAGTTGCCAGCACCACAAATAACCATATATCCAAAGCAGGTCACTTGAAGCTCCAAAGTTTACATGTAAGTTTTAGAACTGGTGATATCTAAAGAGCAGGGATCCCTGTGTGCCCTGGAGATTCACGCTGTAACTAGGGGCAAGCTCTGAAAGGCTCACTTGTGCCAGCCTGACAACTATGGGCTGTCTGAATAGCTGGTAAGCCCTTTCTCTGGCTGGGTCTGGGAAAGTTTTGGATGATAACTGACATTTAGTTTGTTCCCTGAGTAAAGAAGATTTGCCCTCCCCAGAGTGGGTGGGCATCATCTGATCCACCAAGAGCCTGGACTGGACAGGTTAGAGGATGCCACGATCCTGTCTGTCATTGAGCTGGGACATCCATCTTTTCCTGCCATTGGATAGCCTGGCCCTCTAGGGCATGACAGCACCTGCTCCTGCCCCTGCTCCTACACCTGCCCCTGCTCCTGCCCCTGCCCCTGCCCCTGCCCCCACACCTGCTCCTATACCTGCTCCTGCACCTGCTCCTACACCTGCTCCTACACCTGCTCCTGCACCTGCTCCTGCCCCTGCTCCTACACCTGTGCCTGTATCTGCACCTGTACCTGAATCTGCTTCTGTGCCCACACCTGCATCTCCTATCCCATTGACTCATTTCCTTTCGCAGTAGTCCCCAATACGGGTACCCAATTGGGGATGGTTTGGTGATGGAGAAACCTCTGTAAATGTGATGCCAAAAAGACCAGGACCTCTGCCTGAGCTCCATCTCTTCACCTGCCAAAGGCAGACCTAAAGCAATGGACCCCTGGGACCCAGGATCATGGACACTTACAACTAATGCCAAATAAACAAGATAAAATGCTCTGTAATTACTCCTGAAGTCATTTCCTTGCATTCATAATTGACCTATGCATTCTTTAATCTTTAATGCCCTTTTGAAATTCAGCCTCAGGGAGTCATCATGTTATTGATGTTTGTCATGGTTAGGGCTCTAGAGGCAGTGGTCTTTGGTTAAGATGCCATCAAAAGGAAGAAGGCAGTTTATGAAGGCTTTCACACGTCTGCACAGGGGCACAAAGAAAGGACCGGGACTGCCTGCGTTTTGCTGGGTCAGGTTGACAGTGGTGGTGATGGCAATCGCCATGATGGTGTTGATGACAGTGGTGATGATGATGTTGATGGTTGATGGTGGTGATTCAGGTGATTGGTGATAGTGATGATGATGGTTGTGATCGTGATGGTGATGGTGATGATGGTGATGATGATGGTTGTAACGGTAATGGTTGTGATGGTGATGATGGTGATAATGATGGCAGTGATGGTGATGATGGTGATGATGATAGTGATGGTGGTGATGATGACAATGGTGAAGGTAATAATGAAATGGTGGCGGTGATGATGGTGATAGTAACAATGAACCACAGGGATTCACTTGACTCTACCTCTACAGCATTGATGATGATGATGACGACAGTGGTGGTGATGGTGATGATGGTGATGGTGGTGATGGTGGTGATGATGATGATGGTGGCAGGAATAAGATTTATGGACTTCTCATCTTGATTAGTCCTCAAGAAATCACTGAGGTGGTGTGACTGTAAGCTTATCTCACTGAGAAACTATGGCTCAGGGCAATCCCACAGTTGCAGGAAGATGCATCCAGATCCCTGACTGTCATCATTCTGCCGTGGCTGCTGCATCCCAGGGCTCTCTGGGGACAATACCTGTCTGCCTCCTTGGACAAGTCTTCTCTCCATCCTCTGCCTTGCATGTCTGCAGACTGGCTAGCTGCTTCTGCTCCGCACCGCACTGTGACAATTGTGTGGGACTTGTGTTTCTCCTTCCAAGAGTAATGAGGGACTCAAGCTGAATGCCACATTTTCTCTCTCATTTACCAAGGATGAAACTGTGGGCAGGCATTTTTGCTAAGCTTATGTTGCCACACTGAGTGTTGTCCATGATGTTTAGAACGGCTTCAAGGCAAAGCAAAAACACCTCCCAGGACTGGCAGTAAGCAGGGGCAAAAGCCTCCTTTGGCTGGGCTTTGAGATGTCAGGGCCTCACATCCTTTGGTTTTCTGCAAAGACAGTCAGGGCCCTGGACCTCTGAGTCATCTGGGGTGTGTGTGTGCTCTCGGGAGTGCAGTTCATCTGACTCCGCCTCCACAGCCCTGGAATTACAAGCACAAGCCAGCATCTACAGCCGTTTTTTTTTTTTTCATGAATACCTGGGCTTGAATTCAGGTCCTTATACTTTCTCACCAAGCACCTACAGACCCTGGACTCTCACTTTTGAGATGCCGTCTACCAATGAGCATCACCTCCCGCCCTGTGGAGCTGAGCCACCCCCCAGCATTCAACACCAGGTCCCCATTTGCTAACCTAGCGTCTCTAGCACCATCTATAGACCGAGAACCCAGCCTGGGCCTCCTCCCTGAAGAGCCTCAGGACCTGACCTCTATTTCCTGTTGGCCACACCATGGTTGCCCTTGAAGGACACACCCTGTTCTTGACTCTGGGACGGCAGGGTCCCCACCACTGCCGCTTTCCCAGTATTTTCCCTCAGCTGCCGCTCGGGGCTGGGCGGAGTCTGAACATCAGACAGAGCTCATTTAATGAATTAGCTGAATAAATTAATTTGGGGTTCATTTTCCCAGGCCTCTTGCTTTGGGTAGGGAAGCTGCCTCCTTGACCTGGAGGGTGAGGCCCCTCGAGGTGGGACAGGACAAACGCATTAAGCCCAGACTGGATTCCATTAAGTGTCTGGGCGGGGACGGGAAGGGGGCGGGTGGTGAGGAGCTGCCCAGAGAGAGCGCGCTGTGCCTGTTTAAGGTTAAAAAGGAGAGGGGCAGGCTCTGCGGCTAATAATTCTTGCCCATTAATCACAGCCGGCTGAGCTGGGGCCTCTGTAGAATGTGTTAATTTGGTAATTACCGAGGAGGGGAGGCTGCTTGAACTCTCGGCCTTTGTCATTATTTTTTTTTTTTTAACTGAAATGTGAAATGCGGATGGAAGAGCCGAGATTCTGACAAAGATTTAGCTAGGTAGGGCCCAGCCCGTGCCCAGCACCTGCTCCTTCTGAGTTGTCCTGCACCTCACGGCCTCTGGTTTCTGCCCCCAGCGTGGGAGCCATCCCCTGGATTTTGAGTTTATGATCTCAGCACTGGAACAACGCTATCAAAATGTTTGTTTGGGAAAGAGACAGGAGCGGAGCCCATGTTTGTGACAAACAGCACCACAGCCCAGACGCTGAATGGACCTCCAGGCTGGTGTGCCCTGGAGGTCTGCAGCCTTCTTTTTTTCCAGACAGGGTTTCTCCATGTAGCTTTGGAGTCTGTCCTAGAACTCGCTCTGTAGACCAGGCTGGCCTTGAACTCACAGAGATCCGCCTGCCTCTGCCTCCAGAGTGCTGGGATTAAAGGCGTGCACCACCACTGCTGGGCCTGGCACCCTTTTTCAATGAGCAAGTGGCCCTCTACCCATAGTAAATCCCCCTCCCATATCCCTGCTCGGGAAAGACTCCTCCCTCCCCCCAACTGTCCCAACTGTTGTCTCTGATCTCTCACCTCCTGACTGTCCTGTACCCCAGCCACAGCTCAGGCTCCTCCTAAATCACGCTGGGTGCCCTCTCAGGCTGGGGAGCAGCCTATGTATCCCCCACCCCACAAACTAAGGTCTGAGATACAAAGCCATGAGGCCAGGTCGCAGCTGGGACTGGGAATCTGTCTTCTTCTCAGCACAGGCCTGATGGATCCCCACGCCTCAGCACATCTCCTACTCCACGCCCTGTGGAGTCTGGGTGAGCACCTGGAATCTGAAGAGCCTCGGGTACTCTCTCCCTTCAGCCAGGCTCTGCCCCCTCTGATCCTCTCCCTTACTTGGGGGCATGAACAGTGGGACGCGGCGACCCTGTTAAGGACTCAGAGAAGGCGGGCAGAATAGCTTAGTCGGTTAAGCGTTTGGCTGTGGGGCACAGGGCCTTGGCTTCAATCCCCAGCGCCGAAGAAGAGCCGGGTGTGGTTGTGCAAGCCACTGTGGCTGCATAGCGAGTTTGAGGCCATCTTGGGGATACACGAATACGCGGAACCCTATCTAGAAAACAGAGTTTGGGCTTGAGGAGACGGCTGGGTTGGTGACGTGCTTGCTGTGGAAGCCTGGGGGCCCACTTAAAAAGCCAAACATGACAGCACGCATCTGTAACCTCAGAACTGGGGAGGTGGAGACAGCGGGGGTCCTGGGGGCTCACTGGCCTAGCCACTTGGGTTACCTCCAAGCTTGGAGAGAGACCATGTCTCAGAAAACAGTGAGGTAGAGAGGGCTGATGGGATGGCTCAGCAGGTGTAGGCGCTTGCCGCCACGCTTGACCACCCAAGAGCCCGGAGAACCGCGTGGTAAAAGGAAAGGTTACTTGTCCCCTGACCTCCACACACTCACCGTGACATGCCTCCTCTGACCTGGAAAGAGAAAAACATAAATACATAAAATGCAGTTTTTAAAAATTTAAGGCTGACAGAATGAAATAGCAGGCAGAGGCGTTTGAGTGGCGTAAGCCCGTACGCCTCTTGCCATCTGCTGCAGAAGCAGCTGTGAGGAATTCCTTGCACATCCTCCTGAAGCTACTTTTGCTCCCATAACCATATGTTTGTTTATCTTTATTTTATGCACACGACCTTACACCCTTCCCGTGCAAATAACCACGTCTGATGCTTCTCCCACCAGTGATTTGTTTATCTTTATTTTATGCACACGACCTTACACCCTTCCCGTGCAAATAACCACGTCTGACGCTTCTCCCACCAGTGATTTGGCATCTACAGCCCTCTTGTTGGTCGCATAGTGCTCCATGAGGTCGTGGTCCGACTATCCACCCCACGGCACTGGGTGCTCCGGCGCCCGACGGCGCTTTTGCCCTTGGGACGTCACCGCAGCTGGCACTTCCTCGCAGGCTTCCTCGCTCTGCCTGTCCACAGACGCCCATCTGCGGAGCGATTGCTACAGGTAGAACGGACTGCACCATCACTGTGGGGGCCCCAGCGAAAGAGAGGCGTGGTAGTAGACAGAAATAAGGGGTGTGTGCCCGTCATTTGCAGGTGACCCCCCCTGCACCCAGAGTACCCAACGGAGTTAGCCGACAGTTATGAAAACTAACAGAGAATTCAGCTGGACGCACAGGCAGAGGCTCCACACTGGAAAAAGACCCAAGGGGGCGCACGTTGCCAGGTGGCTCTGTCCCTCTCATTGGGTCTTCCCTCCTAGGATCCAGCCAGAACCAGTCAGAAAGTGTAATGTGTGGGACTATGGAAGTTCCAGCCGGAAAGTCCTCTCCAGCGGTGGCTCTCAAACGTCAGGGGATATCAGAATCACCTGGGCAAGCCGGCTCGATAAAATGACAAGCCCCTACTGGCATACAAGCCCTCACACTCCGGCCTGCACCTGGGAGAGGAAACCGCGCCCTAACCAAGCTTTCCAGGAGGCTGAGGCTGCTGGTCTCTGGGCCTCGCTCGAAGCAAACAGGCCCCAAGGATGCATTCTCTGATTGCAAAGTGTGCAGTTTCACCAAAGTAAACCCCGTTTGCCCTCTTTCAGCACAGACTTGCTGCTTTGCTGGTTGGATAGGGGGAGAAAAAAATACCATATTTACTGGCTTTAACGCAATCCTACAGGTTCACCCTTGACCTTAGTTTTCACACCACCAGACGCAAAGGAGGTGAGCATGGGGCTAAGGGCTCACATAACCGGTTGGCACCGGCCCCTCACTGGGTCCCACTCAGCCCACCATGGCAAAAAGGATCCAGCCGCGGTCTTGAGAGAAGTGCTTTCCCAATCTGGCTCAGAGCCCATTGTTCTAGTTTGCGGTATCCGATGATCCCGGTCCCAGCGTCCCCACCCTCCTTGGACCCCTGTGTCTGCAACATCCCTGCACCAGGCTAAGTTTTCAGTGGAGAGAACAGAGAATGTGGATCTATAAATTCTGGCCACGTGTCTTCACTGAAGATCCAAAGCCACCCTCTACCCTCAGTCAAGGCTTTATTGCCTGTTTAAAGCAAGCTCTGACACTTGGGAGATGGGAAGATGGATCGAGGATACCAGAAAGCCACCCTGGTTGACAGAGGTTCTGGTGGTGGGGGGGTGTTCCTGCCATTTAAATCCTGCGACTTCAGCAATGCATCCTGGCATGTCTGTTAATGAAGACGCAGAGATCAGGCAACAATGTGCTGTTTCAGCCCACCGTTCCCCCCCCCCCCCCCCCAAGAAACGCTCCTGGAATCATGCTGCATTTCCAGGTCTGGTGAATGCTGTGTGCAAACTGTAGTATTCCACACTTGTAACACGTCCTGAAAGGAGGCAGTTATTTTGAGCCAATGAGCTTCTTTTCAAGAAAGTTTGTCTCTGCTTGAAGCTAGAGCCTGTTTACGCATACAGAATCATAGGGTGTGACGTCAGGCCAGCCGTAGTGGCCGTGAGCACAGTCCACAAGAGCAGAAGGAGGTTTGTCCATACACCCTCTGTACAAACGTCTTTCCCTCCATCTGCTAGTCAGTCCGTCCATCCGTCCATCCATCCACCCCTCCCCCATTCCTCCTTTTTACTCACTCACCATCCATCCTTCTACCCATGTATCCATCTATCCTTCTACTCATACCTCCATTCATTCCTCTCTCCCTCCAATCATCTACCCAATCTCCAGATATCCATCCATCCATCCATCCATCCTCCCATCCATCCATCCTCCCATCCATCCATCCTTCCATCCATCCATCCATCCATCCTTCCATCCATCCATCCATCCTCCCATCCATCCATCCATCCATCCATCCATCCATCCATCCATCCTCTGACTCCCTCACCCATCCATTCACCTTTATCTGCCCATCTTTCCATCCCTCCGTCCACTAATCTATCCCTGCTTCATCTACGCACCTGCCCATCCGTTCCTCCAGCTACCCATCTCTTCACCCCTCAATCTGTTTACCCGCCCTCCCCCTCCTCCCATCCCTCCCTCACTCACCTATCAATCCTCCCAGACCTGGGGCACAGCGACTAAGCAGGAGAAGGCACAGACAGCATGGCTCCCAGTCCTGACAGAGGGCTGGCAGCGGTGGCTGTAGCTGGGCTGAGCCTGAGTGAGAAGGCCGGGTGGAGTTTGAGAGCTCAGTGTGGGCTGCCACCGTCACACGCCTGTGCCGCAGGCGGAACAAGCCGCTGAGAGAAGCAGGACTCTGGATCTTCCGAGTCGATTAGAATCTCAGAGCTGCTTAGTGGCTTTTGGCAGCCGAGAGTCCTGTCAGGGAGGCTGAGGGTGCTGAGAACCCTGATGGCTAGCAGAGTGTCCCTTGATCTAAGATCTGGCATCTCTGTGGTGTCCCACCCCAGTCTCCCTGGACTCTGCCCGAGAAATTTATCTTTCCAGTTTGCAAACAAGGAAACTGAGGGTCACAGTCTATTAAGCCCGTGTAGCCTGAAGAGCAGCATTTGAACTTTCAGACTTCTGAGCTAAATTTATTTCATCCTCCCCAGACCTCCCCAAAAAAAAAAGAGACAAGGCTTTCCCTATTGGAGCTGGTGACAGCTGCCTCTGTCACCGAAGCCCCAAGGCGCAGGGGTCAGGCTCAAGATGGTTCACCCACCTGCCTCCCCCCTGCTCCTTTCACTCCTGGTCACTGTGATGGGAATCTGGGGGGCAGCCCCACCTCACCAGGCTGCCAGGCACAGAAGGGTGAAGTCTCTTTTACAGCGACATGTGCCGCCGCCCACTGCGGTTGCCCATAATATGATAAGCTGTTCCTTCAGGCCCACTGCTGGTGTTTCCTCATCTCAGTGGCATTTAAAAGCCAACCTAAAATCTCTACCTTTAAGAGATCCATGCATCCTTCTGAGACAGGACAGGAAAGGGAGATAGGGTCAGTGGTTTGTTCTGCATCTGTCTGTATTAGCACCCCAATGGGTTGGAATTCCGTGTATTTGGGTATAGGTGTAGGTGGCTCCTGTGGGGTGGGGGGGGGGAGCGGGCAGGAGGCTCTAGTCTTTGCTCCCCTCGGTGAGTCTCTAAATCGCGAGTTATTATCCAGAGCTTCCCAAACCCAGGAGGACCCCCTTCCCTGGTCATCCCCTCTACGCGCTTCCAGGAGGAAAAAATAATTCGTCGCAAAGGAGGAAAAGCGAAGCAGGCAGAGGAAGCAGCCAGGAAAAGCAGCCAGAAGCTGCCAAGGAGGGAAAGAGCAGATGCTGTGACCAAACGGGTTCCAAGGCCGCCCACCAGCCCCTGGGCTCTCCTTTTTGCTGTCCCCCTGTCCGGCACCATAAATCTGACTCCGGCCATCCGGGGCTTCTGCCTCTCCCCCTTTCCAAATGGGGAAACATTCCGTGTTCCCTCTTGATCTCCAGGACATACCCAACACTGCTGGGGCTGAGGCTCCTGCTTCCCCGCCCACCGGGCAGCATCCTTCAGGTGAAGCCCCTCCCACCCCTGTTAGCTCCTCCCCTTTATCCCTCCCGAGCATCTTTCCCTAGCAAAGTTCTTGCACTCTGGCACGTTTTCCAGGAGGCACGCACCTAGAACCATCCTTGTGGTTCAAAACAAGCCACTCCCACGGACTCCCTTCCTCCAATGAACCGCCTTGTACTCAACAGAGCAGGTGGGCTTTGCGCCTGCGTGAGATTGGCTGCTGCCTATTGGGTCCTTGGAGATCCTAACAGGATACAGAGAACTCCCAAACCTGGTTAATGCCAAGCCAAGGCTTGAGGGTGTGTGACTAACAATGGTGTGTGGGCATTGAAAACAGGAACTGCACGGACCAGCAGCTCTTACTCTGTCTCCAGCAATCCAAAGATCCACACATGGGCAGAAAGAAAGTCCTTTCTTACCGCCTGAGGCCTCCAACACACTTGACAGGGCCCACCATAGTGGAAACCCCAGGAGGACCTCCCGACCTGTTCTCCCAGTGGAAGGGAGAGAGGATGCAAGGACTTTCTAGAAGCTTCTGCCATTTCCCAGCTGGGGAACTTAGTGTCCTGGGGTCCTTCAGGCTTGGCCTTTCCTGCCTGGGGATCTTCATGTGCTAGACCCAGGCCTCTTGGCAGTGTTAGAGGCAGACCTTCTTGGAGAGCCTCCCTGTGTTCTGTGAAGGACATCGCTCTTCTCTTACAGGTTCAGGGAGCAGAGGGGGGGAGGGAGGGAGGGAGGGAGAGAGGGAGGGAGGAGAGAGAGAGAGAGAGAGAGAGAGAGAGAGAGAGAGAGAGAGAGAGAGAGAGAGAGAGAGAGAGGAGAGAGAGAGAGACAAGGCACTGAACAGGCAGAACTGGGGGAGATCTGCTAGGTTCTCCCAGTTTCTGATTGGAGTCAGGTCCTCAGCTTCCTTGACCTGAGAATGCTTCACTCCCTTCCCGGCCTCTGTCCCACGTGGATTCCCTTAATTGAGGGTTTGCACGCTGCCCAAGGTTTGTGCGCGGCCCACTGCCATCTCCTCCTCCTCCTCCTCCTCCTCCTCCTCCTCTCCCATCTTCCCTTCATCCTCCCTCCCTGTTTTCCCTCTCTCTGTCTCTGTCTCTCTCTGTCTCTGTCTCTCTCTGTCTCTCTCTGTCTCTGTCTCTGTCTCTCTCTGTTTCTGTCTCTCTCTGTCTCTGTCTCTCTGTCTCTGTCTCTCTCTGTCTCTCTCTCTCTCTGTTGGTATTCACGTGTGCTTACACCTCTCTCTTGGTATTCACACATGTTTACACAGCTCCTGTGTGGAGCCTGAGGTCCACACTGGAAATCTTCCTAAGCTATTCTCCGTCTTGTGTTTTAGACGGGGTCTCTCACTGAACCTGGAGTCTGTGGCTTGGACTAGACTGACCAGCCAGTGGGGGCCTCTTAGATCTACCCATCTGCACCCCACCCTCACCCCGGCACTGGGAGTCCAGGCTCCTGCTCCACACCTAGCTTTTATGTCATCTTGGGGATACAAACTCTCACTTGTGTTAGCAACAAGCACTTCATCCACTGAGCACCAACCCGCCCCCCTTTGCTAGGGCTCTCACTGAGTTCAGCCACCCCCAAATCCAGGTTGACCTCAACTCCATCAGTGCCTTAACCACATCTCCAGAGACCCACATTCCACACAAGGGTCACAGTCTTAGTCCAAACTGGCACGCGTCCGGGGACGCACTATTTGAAGCCGCTAGAAAAGGGCAGGGGGCTGAAGCCGTGGGTCAGAACCGCCGTCCCTGGGGGGCTGATGGCAGCAGTGTGTGCCCCGAGCAGGGCAAGGTGTGCGGAGCGGAGGGGGCCTGTGCCAGTCACTCCCCGTTCTTGGGCTCCCGTGATGCAATGGCCTTCTAGAACCTTTCACCATCCCCGCTTACCCGTTCTTCCCTGATGCAGGGAAAAGAAGGTATCCTTTTTTTATTCCATCGAATTATTAAAGAATAAACGATCCAAATGATTCATAAGGTTGAGACTGAGCAGCGGGGACGGGGGGGGCGGGGGGGCGTGTGGGTGTGGCTAAGAACAAAAGAGAGGTTCCGCGGCCTCGGGGATGCCTGGGTTGGCTGAACTGAGGGGGTGGGGGTGGGGGGCCATAGGTGGATGGGGTTCGGCAGCCAGCTCTTTCCCTTCCCTTTTCTGTCCTCTCCTCCCATCTCCTTCCCCTCCAAACTCTTCTCCCTTCCCCTCAGCTGCTGTGGAAGCCGCCGCGGCCACAATTTAATATGCAGAGGTGGACAGCTGGCACCGAGGCAGGCGCATCCTCAGAAGGGCATGCCGTAATTCAAACAAAGGACGCACACAACAAAGGACCTGTGCGGGATTTGTGAGCATCCGCGCCCAGCAAGATTTATCTAAGCAAGCAGAGGGGCCCTGACCTTGGGCTTGAGAGCTTTCAAGTGAACAGGCTGCCGTGCACGCGGCGGACGGAACAGAGAGACACTTGTGATTACCATTATTTAATATAATGGTCCTAAACAGTCGGGAGGGGGGTATGGATGCCGGGAGAGGATTGTTTTTTCATTCCGGGAGATGCGGTGGGAAGAAGTGGTGGCAGGCGGAAGGGAGACTTGCGCATTCCTGAAGGGAAAGAGGAGGGAGCCGCAGGCAGAAAAATAAACAGATTCCCCCTTACTCCCTCCCCTCCCCCTCCCCTTCCTCCTCGCAGATCCAGTGTTACCAGCAGGGAGAGAGGCAGGGCCAGCCTTGGAGTGGTTTTGGGAGGCTAGTGTCCTCATCTCCTAGAATGGGGGTTCAACGGGGATACAGGGTCCTCAGGGGCTGCCAGAAGACCCAGGGCACATGGGCATCTGGCTCAGGGAAGGCTAGGATGGGAGGAGCCATGAGGGAGGTATAGGAGCTCAGCTGGTCGTGTGCTTTCCCTGGGGTCCCCAAGTTCAACCTGTGCCTCTTCCTGCAGACACTGAATATTGGGTGGGGGCAGGGGGGCGGGGAATACAGGAGGTGGGTGGCGGGATGGGGAGGTTGGCTGGGCCACTTGGTCACCACTGATGCTGAAGGTCCAGGATCAGTTTACCTGTGCCCCACCCCCGCCAAGAGCTTCCCATGGGCAGAACCTCTCCGTGTTGTCACCGATGGCCAGTTATTTTCACCTGTAACGATGGATGCTCCGTTCTCCGTGCAGAGCCCACTCCCCTAAGTCCTTCCTAAAGCAGGCTCAAACGGGTGCCGTCACCCAAAGGTGCTCTCTCCAGAACGTGCCAGGAGTCTGGTACCCTCGGGCAGCAAGGACCTAGCAGAGGTTCAGCACCAAGCTGGGGAAGGGGAGGCCGCAGGAGCTGGTTCCCTCTTGGCAATACCCAGGTAGAACAGAGGGGCTCGCACAGCCTGTTTCCAAGGAAAGGTTTGTTCACCACCACTACCACCCCCAAAAACAGCTCAGATGCTGATGCAGGGAGGGGAAACGGAGGCAGGAATTGAACTCGAGGGTCTGAGGCCAGGGAGAACACCAGAGCCCGGACAGGATGAGGTGGCTCCCCTGTCTTCATTGGCTGTCCTTCAGCAGCAGGGAGGGTGCAGCCTCAGAGGCAGGGCCGGAGTGTGTGGACAGACACCACCAAGAAACACTGAGGGAAATGAGGGTGCTTGTGTGTGAGAGGTCAAAGGTCAACATCAAGCTGTTCTCCACCTTTTTCTTTCGAGACAGATCTCTCGCTGAACCTGAAGCTCACTGATTTGGCTAACCTGGCTGGCCAGCGGGCTCCAGGACCCTCCCGTCACGGTCTACCTCACCCCCATTCGCAAGCCTAGCTCTGGGTTTACAGACCACCGTAGCCAGGTTTTTTTCTGTGAGTGCTGGGGATCAAACGTGGGTTCTCGTGTTTGCCCAGCAAATCCTTCCTGGTGAGCCATCTCCCTGGGCCCTGTTTTGCTTTTCATGATCAAGCAGAAGCATTTGTCAAACACTTCATCCTATTTCTCGGCTCCCTTTCTGCTGCATGGGCGCCCCAGCCCAGTGGGGACACCGCCCAGGGATCCCCCACCCTGGCAGAACCTGGCTCTGGGATGCTCTCCCTCTCATCCTGCATCATTATTGAGAGACA